TATCAGAGGGAAAATGGCAATTAAAATCAATTAAAATTCCATTTAATTGATTTTAATTATTTATTTACTGTATCGATTTATTACTTATTGTAATGGATTGGAATATTTGAATATGAATTAGCTGAATATTTAAGAAAAATATTATGACTGCGAGAATAGGAAAAAAACATTTTTTGAATATCTGCTTTCTTATAGAATGCAGATGAATTCCTTTTTTCTCAACGAAAATCAAAATTTAGTAGCTAATTAATCTGTCTTATATCGACCACTTTAGTTCAGTGATCCGTATTAATGTGCGCTTTTTTTTAAAAAAATTTAAATGCTTCAAGAATAATTAATTAGAAAAAGGCATAATTCTCTTCTTACCCTTAAATTCTTCAATAAAAAACTGCATTTTCAGCTATAACCAAGTGAAATAATTTTCTAAATATAATTCAAAGCATGAAAAATAAGGTACATAAACAGCTTGGAAATGGAACCAGCATTGAGATTCTCTTTAAGAAATATGGTGAAGCTTAACAAAACGTCTACGAAGTGAAGTAATTCCGTAGAATATTTTCTAACTCTTTATGATTAAATTGCATTCAATTATACTTTATAAACGACATGTAAATACTATTTAATGTATATGTGTGGATGTGTGTGTGTGGCTCACTAGCGGCTGAGCTGTAAAAATAGTTGAACTCTGGCAGGTCGATCCGGGGTTCGAATCCGGATCGACGGGGATGGCTGTATTCGCGTTTTCGAGGTTTTCCCCACGTGTAACGTGCATAAGAGTCAGTTTTGCTTAGAAAGTTCTTCACGAGGCACCTTTACCCTTAGCCAAATAACCGTGGAATGCTTTGCTATAATCAAACAAACCAGACCAAAAAATAGATATATAAATAAGTAGCTTAAAAAACTGCTATATTTTATGTATACTTATCAAGTAGTATTTCAATATATATAATGATTAAAAGAAAGGAAATGTCGGATCCTAATTGATTGTATATAATGTAATCCCTATGAAGGCCCTAAGAATTCTTTCTCACTTAAAGTCGTAACCCAAAAAGAGAACAAATTAAACTTCAGATACGTATACAATACTGAATCTAATACAAAAAATACAAAATATAAAAATAAATTATATATGTATGAAACCTAACTAACTATTTATATTGATATTACGTAAATATACGTATGGTAATGAACATTGTATAATAAAGATATTTTATACCTTGTTCTATATTTGGTTCCATTTATATATACCTATACATAGATATATATAATTTAAGGATTATAGTAGTAGTTAATACTACAACATATAAAACACAAAAGGGCATCAATAATGTATTTTTCAGTATTATTTAACTTCATTCTTAAGAATTTTCTGCAGTCTAGTTTGCGTTATTTTATTCATAAGTCTCAAATAAAAACAATTATTGTTTATATGTCATTAGAAAATTAACCAAAAAGCTGCGACCACAATGTAATTGAGAAACAGTCCTTAGCCGTGAAAAGATTGAAAGCCATTCGGTTATGACTATTATCTCACATACTTAGCTACTTCGCATACATGGAACATAGCATTCGAAATGTAAAACTCAATATTTACTACAAATTCCTTCGTGTAACAAATATCTGTCTTTCTACACCTATGGCTTTAAAAAAAGATGTTATTTATCTTACAGTTTATCGTTAAGTAATACATTTTCATTGTAACAAAATTCATTTCTCATTCGAAGTCGTAATTCAATTTGTATTTTCCTCTGTATAAAACTGAATGTAGAGAAGTTAGATGTTTAAACGACCCCCCCCCACCCCCCCACATTTTCTTAAGACCACGAGCAAAATTATCCCTTCCTTTTCAGCCCCCCTTGTGAAAAAAGGGGTTCTAAATTTACGACCTGACCGCATATGAGGGTATTTCCTCTCTTTTCTTGTCCATAGTCTTGCAGTTAATCACTCTTTAACTGTCGAGGTCCCCTTCCAGGCAATCGACCCATCTAAGGTTGGGTCGGCGGCCCCTAGTTCTTGTTCCAGTGGGCTTGGCCGGGAATATTTTCTGCGTTGTGCGCTCCCTGTTCATTTTAATAATGTGGCCAGCCCATTTAATCCTTTGGATTCTTATGCATTCCACGACTTCGGGTTCTTTGTAGGTACGGTAAAGTTCTAAATTTGAAGGTCTGTGCCAAACACCATCAACTTGTATTCCTTCAAAAATAGCTCTTAGTATCTGCCGCTCAAAGATACCACAGGCATTTTCGTCTTTTCGTGTCAATGTCTAGGTTTTTGAAGAATATGTGAGTATAGGTCTGATTAGACATCTATAAATTAATAACTTTGTTTTTTTTAATTGCCAATTCTGAAAGATTTAATGCTCCTCTGTACTTCTGGTGTGATGCTGTTATTAATGTTAATCTCAGAGCCCAAAGCTATCAGCTTTCTGAAATTTATATGTACCTATTTTCAGGTGAGTTAGCAGAGTCCGTTACCCTTGTGCATTGCATGCATTTAGTTTTCTCCTGCTTTATAATGAGGTGCATTTTACCTGCCTCTCTTTCCAGGACCAGGAATGCCCATTTCAGATCAGAAGGTGTTCTTGCAATGATGCCTGTATATCATCGGTAAATGCAAAGATTTGCACAAATTTATAGAATATGTTTCCTCTAGTATTGATTTTTGAGACATAAATATTTTTTTTCTAATGCTATGTCGAAGAGAAGGCATGCCAGCGCATCACCCTGCCTAACCCCATTTCTAACTTTCATTGCTTCTGAAGAATCACCCTGGATTTTAACTCTCTGAATGGTTTTACTCACCGTAAAAGTAGTGAGTCTTACAAGCTTATCAGGAATATTAAATTCTCGCATAGCTTCAAAGAGTAATTTTCTATTTATGCTATCATAAGCATTTTTGAAATCCAGAGATGGTAGGTTCCAATTCCAAATTTTTTAGTTTTTTCCCCCAGTATCTGTCGAATGATCAATTGTGGATCTTCCTCTCCTGAATCCGCTTTCATATTCTCCGATAATGTTTCGAGTGTCATATTTCAACGAAAATATCCATTTTGATCGCTCTTGAATCCATTTAGAGAATTTTTTACTTCACATCTGTACGTACGGACAGAATAAAGGACTGTTTTTTCCAAAACGTACGTACGCGAGTTATGCGAGATACATACATATATACCTAAGAACGATCATCCGCAGAACATTGAAATTTTGTATATAACATCTAGTTGTACGCCTTCCCTTTTGTTGCAATCTGCAGCCGTGTGTGTGTGTATATATATATATATGCAACATTTGTACTTCTGGCGGAAGATGAAAACAATTCACGTTCTAGTCATGGCCGAAAAACTGCTGCGTTGTTCAAAGGAATTGTATTTTATGAAACTGCGAAGATTGTATTTTATGAAAAACCCTAAGATGCCTTATTCATACAACATAAGTAAAAAAAAAATACTTTGCTAGGGTAAATGATTCAAGAGGACTTGAAAATACGTCTTTTTGAAATAAACTGATTTCAAATCCCTAACTTCTATTAACAAACTCAGTTTCCTAAATTTTAAATTCATTGCAATTTACAAATAAATAGCACACTAATAATACGCATTAAAGACAATTCAATTTTTTAATACATTTTAAATGCAGTTTTGTAATTCATGAGACAGACATGAAGATTCCAAAGTCGATCCCTAGGAACCCATAGGCAAAATTCCAGACGGATAAAAATAAAAGATTTTAAAGCTTCGAGAAAAGAGGATAATTTTCAGAGAAATTTTCAATTAAATACTATGCAAGGAATAGCATTAAACACAAACAAAATACTTCCTAACTGAATTTCCCCTCTTACCACTTAAGATTTCCGCTTTTCATAAATACATTAAGCTGAAAACGAAAAGGATTAGGAATTGAATTCCGATTGGAGATTTGAAGGTGGTTTAGCCACGGGAATTAAATTTAAATGGTTTTTGAAACATAGACGAAGTGCTTTTCGATTATGGAATTTTAAATAAAGGTTTTAAGGATTGGATAAAATTCTAAGAGCTCAGTTTTTAGTTTTTCCAGATATGTTTTTAATTTTTTATAGTTCCAGAGCTAAATTAATAAACTAAATCGTTAGAAATCATACCAGTAATTTTTAAAATGTGTTTTATTAAAGCATGATAAAATTTTGTATGCAACAGGTACTTTCTGCAAAAAACGAGTTACTGGCCACCCAATCGGGATTGTGGTTAGTGACTGACTTTGACTGCCGTACCGAAGGGCCTGGTTTGAAACACAGATGTTTGTAAATGTATAGTGCCTGTGCAGCATGGGGACATTCTAAATACGTGGCGATCCGAAATTCCGCTCGAGAGCTTGATGGTAGGAGGCCCACGGATCCGTCCTACCCTCCGGGGCGCTCTGTTTCAAAAGTGGGGATGGAACTAAGCAAAGGTGTACTGCCACCCAATGTCTAGTGCCCAAGGCTTTGCCAACCACAGGCGTAGTCTTGTCTCTTTGCCACGATGAATTACACAACTGAAGAAACACGACGAATCGTTATTAATGTTAATACTATAAAAGATTTTTTTCTGAATTAGATTATCCAGTGTGATCTTTCAGCTCCTTCTATTTGAACAAGTTTCAAGTTGGGCAATATATTCAGTTCTGCCAGTATCGTTTTATGCTTTTCTGCCGTGTCTTCTGCATCCATGAGTTCTTCATTATATTGCTTTCCGAATTTTGGCTGTTTCGATCTCCGGCGGTATAGTCAAAGAAATCTCTCCTACCATCTCGACATTAATAGTTGCTCTACAGAACAGATGCTTCATGGGAGATTGACTGGATTCATATCTTCAGCAGGAAAGATTTGTCAAGTATCGTATTTCTGGAACTCTATTGCGTGCAAATGTTCCCATTGATGTTTCTTTTAATCGCCCCTAAACTTTAATTGAATCACTCCAAAATATATTTGGGATATGAAACAATTTTAAATCAGATTATAAGGTATTTTCTCCCTCCTTTTTGCATGCCTTCGTGGTGTAACGGTAACACACTCGGTGCATATTCGAGAGGTCCGGGTTCGAGTCCCGGCGAGGGCATTGCACATTTTTCACATTTCCTGCTTCAAAATAACCTAATGACTCTACAATGGTTGAAGCAAGCCTTTCTCAAATGAGACAAGAAAGGAGTTTCAAACGGGGTGTTATTATCGTTTTAAGCGGACTTTTAACATTCAACTAACTGGACTCCTGATATCGCTTCATACATGGAAGTTGTATAAATATGCTTGCTGACGTTGCAAAATGTACGAGAGGTGTGCCTTGTAGTGTCCATCATTTTTAATATTCAAGTATCAAGGCAGATGAAACTGGGAAAGTTTGAATGATTGCTTTAGCCAAATTTTAAGACATTTACTTAAAATTAATGGCAGTTCATCATCCCATTTTAAATTCAGAACCCAGGTTTCTTGTAAATTTAATTTAACTGCTAGTGCTACGCTACGTAGGAGATTCGATTGTTGCCACAACATAATGTTCTTTACATAAAGTAAAAATGAAGAATACTTCTAGGCCAATGGATTTTTTTTGGTACAAATATTCTATTATGATTTTAAGTAATAACAGTGTATGTAAATATTATTAACACATTTTTAATGTTTCCAGGGATATATTTTGTGTGAAAAAGGACTTCGGTAAGGATTGGATTGGATTGGATTATTTAATTATGGCAAAGCACACGAGGGCTATCTGCCTAAAGGGAGGGATGACTTCGTGGAGGATTTTCTAAGCAAAAATTGGCTCGTATACACGTTACATATGGGGAAAACCACGAAAACGCCCATGCAGCCAGCCCTTTCGCGAGATTCGAACCTCAAACCGAACTACCAGTTCAACGTCTTTACCGCTCGGCCGCTGGTGGCCCGGACTTCGGTAAGAAAAGCCCAAATTAAAGTTTATTTATAATTTACAGCGTGTATTCTCTTTTAGTAAGAACTCAAACTTCACATTGCGTCAAAACTCTCAACGTCACTCTAGATTAAAATTCAGCATATCAAATATAGAACACCTATGCAAGAATCAACACTTATCCATCTCATTAATAGCCTTGAATTATTAAAGAGAATATACATTTTCTTCTATTAATTTAATTATTTAATACCAATACAAAATACAAGCAATTTTAATTGTGTATTAAGACATAAGTGTACTAGTATAAACGTAATTTCTACGTGAGAAAAGTTTCTGAAACGCTGTATTAAGGAATATGAAGTAAATTTACATATTATGGTATTAATCACAGCTGCGATACCTAGTCATATAATCTCAAAGAGGAAAATTAATTGAATTATAATTAATACTGGTAATTTCAGCTCTGTGCTTTGTAAGCTTGTTGATCAACATTAAAAAAAATTCTTCAGAAAGTGCTGAATCAGGTCAACAACTACTTTTCCAACATAACATGAATATATATGTAACAGCATTTAATACTTACGTGCTCACTTGTACATGCAAGTGCAACTATGTAATGAGTAGGAACCAATGAGTGTTCAGCTGCTAGATGTAGTCAGTGTTACAGAATATAAATATCAGAGTTTCGATGGGCACGCCAGATATTTTCAAATGTTAAGGTAAGCGATACAAACGAAGTTTGATGGTGGAGAAATTCTCGGTGCTGTAAAACTATATGTTTGGTGATCAGTAACCACCAAACTGTCTATATGATGGGTAGTATTATGGCACGGGTCTACCAACAGTACCTCAAAAGCAGAAAAACGGGTGGGAATCCTGCAAAATGGGGCTGAAAGCTAGTCATTGATGCGAGAAATGCTAGAAGATTCAATCTATCGTATCGTAAGTCAAAAAACGCAACTTTATGTCAAATTAGAACAGTTTTAATGCTTCGTCCAGGTTGACAGGTGCCTCGTCCAACGTCTTCACAAGACCTGTTCTTCGGCGATTGGCACAACTCGTTTATAATTATCAAGATCATCTCAGATTTCACTGTTAACGGGGAGACATCGATTGCTGTCAGGAAAACTAGCAAATTGCCCCGCCTCTGGAAAGAAGATGATTGGAAACTATCATCTGGTCTGACGAACTGAGATTCCAGCTGTTGTAGGCAGATGGCAGAGTTCCTCTGTGTGGCGTAGATCCACGAGTACTGCATGCCTCTTGTCAGAGAAGAGTTGACAGGGCGGTGGCGGCAGTTTAACTGTCTGCGACATCTTTACATGGTCATCATTGCTGAGTCTTCTTATGACATTAGATGGAATCCCAAAGAGCTCAGTCTATGAAAAACTGATATCTGGTCATTTCCACTTTGCTGTTCCCACATAATTATGTTCCTTTTCAAGCAAGTAATGTGCCAACCCATCGGTTAGACGTTGCCCAAGAATAGTTCAACGAACTTAAAAATTACATTGGAATACTAAACTGGCCTGCAGAGTCTTATATATGAATTCTGCTGAGCATTTGTGAAATTAACTGCAATAGTGCCTTCACTCTATGGACATACTCTGTGATAGATATTTGCTGGATGAAAGTTTTACCAGTTTACTGGATGACTGTTTTCTCAAATCCAATGTAAAGGTGTATTGCTGCCGTTATCTCCGACAAATGTAGAGTAACGCTATGTTAAAAAATATGTATAGTGATTTGTCTTTGTAATAAGTATATGCAGCAGTCTGTGGTAGCAGCGAAATTTCACAACTTAGGCTTTCCAGAAATAAGTAAAAAAAGTTGTAAATTTAATTGAATGTTATGAAATGTGGTATCAGTTCCATAATTTATTTGTCATGTACTAATAAATGTTTCACGGACTTTTGGGTAATCCTGTATAATAATATTAGATACAAGGCCAACGCTAAGCGTTTAGTCACTTGGTGCGATCTTTACGAATTTTAAATTCTACCGCGTAGTAGATCAAACTTCGTTTATATCGCTTACCTTGACATTTGAAAATATCTAAATCTAAAAATACTGCCGTCTCTAAATTCTGACGCCCAGTGTTGCTGCACGAGGTGCACCAGCCTTGCCGCCGGCTCTAACTAAGTGTAATAAATAAGAAGACTTCCATATAGCCTCATTAAAGCAATGATGATGAGAATTTAAGATACTCCGTTTTGTCCTAATCATTTCGAATAATTTTAACTTATGCTAACTAATCGTCGTCCATTAATTTAATCAAACGCATGGTATTGCCAGAGTTCTAATTTTGTGAGATGCTGCCATTCAGGTATTTATTTAATGTTTCAAATCACAGAAATAAAAATTAAGAATTAAAAAAAAAATATTCACTTTGGAATAATAATATCCACGTTTATATTATTTTATAATCCGTAAAAGATATTTTTAACCTTATACACTATGTATCATCACATTTAAAGTTCTATTTTTTGCTCAAAAAGTTTAATATTTGTTCCTAATTACGCTAACTTTCTGCTTTATGTGCACTTTGTCAAAAGGAAAAAAAAAAAAAAAAGTTCTATATCTCCCGTTGTGCTGGGCCAACGGGAGATATAGAACTGTCCTTTCTCAGTTAATTCAACGAAATTCAACTTGCGTTTTTCATGTCTCGCTCGAAAGCGCGACTTACGATATGTATTAGATTTATATAAAGCGTTGTTCTAATATAGGTATTTTGACACAAAATCGGTCTTTTTCTGAAATAACATGCCAAATTTTTTTCCCATATTTCGATTCTACGATTCAAATTATGCCAAACTCTTTTTATAAAAACCGCGCGAGTAGTTTTTTAAAAAATTAGCTAAATTTTAGCTTCTGAATGTTAATTGAATTTGATATATATTTATTAATATCACTTTTTTATTAAACTTACTTGATTCATTCTTCCAGAATTCGAAATTTAGACTTAATCCATTCGCCTATTTTTTATGATTTATTTTTAAAACTTGTTTTTTAAAATAATTTTTATAAATTTTTCGAAAAATGTTTTGAATTATAATCTATAAATGTTTTGCCATCATCTTAAAGTAGATGTATTTCTAAGCTTGCCTGCAAAAAATTACTGTTTTGTATTCAACATTTCCCAAGATATACGTGAATTGACACTTTGGAGCGTTTTGAAAATTTGGTGTATTTATTATAAACGTTAATAACGCCAAATGCGGTGTAAGCATTTTGTTAAACTTATTTGAAAGTATGAACAATGACCTTTTTTCCGCTCGTGGACAATGAAGAAAAAGGAAAGGAAAATCGGTTGCTATAAATTAAGAAGTTTGCCAAATGAATTATTCTTGGCGCAAACTAAAAAAGATTCGCCAAGATAATTTTTTAAATTTTTACATAAATTTGTCACCAAACATTACAAAATTTAATATCTAGGTATAATTTGAGTCGTACAATAAGAATATAGGAAAAAACTGTTATGTTATTTCAGAAAATGTCCGATTTTGTGTCAAAATACCAACGTTAAAACAAAGCTGTATATAATATAATATACAATATACTAAGTGACGCTTTGGAGATATGGAAAACGCAGTTTGAATTTCGTTAATCGGACCAGTAGAATAGAAATATAGAACTGTTCCCCCTTTTCTTTCGGAGTGTACATGTTGTTTAGAAAACTGCCTAAACGTTTGTTATTTTCACTTGGATCCTGATGCATAAACCGTATATGAAAAGCTAAGGAAAAAAATTATTTCTCTGATTTTTCTGCAATTATAATATACTTATTGTCGACTGTCACCCTATCCTTACCGAAGAGTTATTTACGGTTATTAAATATGAAGCATATTTATTTCCGAATATCTGTAAACTGTGGAATTTTTCTTTCAAATTGTGACGATCATAAAAATCTTTTGAATTTTAAACTTCCCGATAAAAATATCAAACTGAATACGAAAAAGAGATTACATTTATACAGAAAATTCCGCGAACTTAAATATTTCTTTAACTTTGTCAGTAAGAATCAAACGTTTATCCTCGGGGAAAAATATTAGACAATTTAAAAACTTGTTTTAAATCATCATCTTTAATATGCCTGCCATGCCCATAAGGCTTTCAGTCTCCGTTTCACCCATATTCCATCTCAAGTGGGAAGTATAAACAGCAATCTGGAAACAGAACGTTTTCCTGCT